GGCTTTTTGGTGTGTCTGTCTTGTAGCTCACTGGCTGATTTTGTGTCCTCCTCACTATTTTAATCTCCTTGAGTAAGGGCAGCTGCTGACTCTCTGTTTTTGCTAGAGTGCAGCATTTCAGCTTTGCTGGGGAAACATCTTTTGTTGGGTTTTGACAGAGCTCTTGGCTCGAGACTGTTGAGAAACAAGATTGTGGCAAAATTAGTCATTAAAATGATGGAAGGGCAGGAGGAACGGCCCTGGGTGAGAGATTGAGACCTCAATCTGTTCGAAGAACAGAGAGAGGCTTTTGTTATGGCTCTTGGGTACTTTTTGGGGGAGGATGAGGCCCATCAAGGAGCAGCAACTGGGAGCTGAGGGCAGATAATTCCTGAGGAGCAATTTATTAACGTTTGAGAGTGAACATCTCAGAGGAAAGGTGGATTCTCCCACTCTTGATGTCTTCAAATAGAAACAGGATGCCTTTCCAACAGAGATGCTTCTGCAGGTGACAGCTCAGGTCTGACATGAGATCCCTGTGACCTGGATCATGCAGAAAGTGACTTGAATGTCCCTTTTGGCTTAATTTACTTGTGTCAGCCCCCCCAGCCATCTGCCACTGGTTCTCCAGAAGCCATTTAGGGTTCAACCAGTGCCACAAAGCTTGACCTCATGGCTTTGTAATTTGGTCTGAGTTGTCATTTCACAGCTGTCTTACAGTGCCGTGTGACGAGAGTCTTCCAGAGGAAGGGTGGCTGCATCAAGTCTCCTGGACCACCATGTAAGGAGGTCACACAAGATTCTCAAGATGACCTCCGCTGGCCTGTAAATCCCTGAATTTGGCAACATAACATGGCTTTTGTCTGTACGTATAGATGTGTGGTCACCATATTGTCTGCTGCCTTTCTCTAGCCAGCCCCACGTGCAGTGGAAGGAGATGAATTAGGTCCTTCTGGAAGAGTGCTTTGAGATACCTGCAGCTGAGGACATGGCACAATAAGGTGTCGTTCAGCTGTATTTTAAGTGTGTGATGAAGTCATGAAAAATTGTTAAATCTCACTTAATGCCCTGTGAGGGAGAGGATTGGACTTTTTTTGTGTAATAGCCTTTCTTTTTTCACCTGGCCTAATAAGCTTCTGAGTACATTTGTGCCCATAATGTCCATTTCATCTGGTGTTTTTAGAGGCCCATTGAAATGTAAAAACTTTAGAAGAGATAGAAATGTTTCAAGTCCCTGAATCAAATACTTTTCCCATAACCTGTTTTTACAAGATTAGTTGCTTGTATTAAAGCTGCAAAGTTCCCTGAAAATTCACTTTTATCTTTCTCAAGAGTTCTATTTTCAGTCTAATAATGCGATGCCCTTGTTTCTGCAGCTCGGGATGCAGCTTACACAGTCAAGATCAAAACCTGGTCTTGCCTGGGGAGGCACCATGCTTGAACCATCTTGGGGGGGACAGAGAGACGGGAGGAAGGTTTTGAATCTTGACCTCATGGTTCCCATCTCAGATCGCTGCCTGCAGGTCCCCACACGCTTCCTTGGTGTAGTCGCCCAGGGCAAAGCGCAGGGATTTGCAAAAGCTGCTGAATACTTGGCTGATGACAATTAGCAGCATCCTAAAACTGCTGTAAATCCAGGATCGATTCTTTGAAAACAAAACATCAAAGGCTTTAAGTTGCTTCTAACTTTTGCTGGAGCTAATGTGATGAATTGAATGTGCACATCATGGCTCGGAGGCATCTTGCTCCTTTGTAGCATCCTTCTCTTTAGGGAAGAATTTAATGCCAGTGAACTGATCTCTATCCTCTGGGGTCCCCAGTTTCAGATGTTTCAGGCAGGGTCCACTTTCTCAATTCACAGTAGTTGCATCGTGTTACTGTTCAGCAAGTTATGAGAAAACAAGTCAATAAAGTTTGCCGGGTTTTTCCTTGGGATCTATCGATTTACAGGGTGCTTAAATGCTCCCGGATGAAAGGCAGGAGTACACCTATTCTTGGTGAAAGGCAAAAGCTGAACGCTGACTCTTCCAGACCTGCAAAGCTTCAGACTTGATGGAGTAACCTGAAACGTGCCCGTTGCAGAACTTCTGCAGAGTTTTGCGTCCTGTCCAGATCTTTACAACGCAGGAAGGCAGATCTCACTCCAAAGCTCAGGTGAAAAACAGCCCAGACCTTGTTGGGTCATTGGACCTCCAAGCTAAACATTGCATCTTTACCTCTCTTTGATTTTGAGTAGTGGCCAAAGCTCAGATCTCGCCCTGGATTCTCTTTACTCTTCTGCACAGTCCATCTGGAAATGGGTGACACAAAAACGTACAGTTGCCGTGGGGGCTCACTCTGGCAGCAGAAAAGCTTTGAAAGTCTCCACCATAAATGCAGGACAGTGCTGTGGGCAAAACCTCCTGTGCTGCCATTCTCAGCTTTGGGGAGCAGAAATGAGTTGACATTTGCTGATGCAGTACCCAAATCATTCCTGAGAAGCTGAGATGTGCAGGAGTCTGATAAATTCAAAGCAGAACCCATTTCCCAGGGCACTGGTGAGGCAGAGAGAGCTTTTTCTGCTGCTCAGCCTGGTGGTGCTCATTCTTTTTTTTTGTCCTTTATCCATCCATCAATCTTCAGCTGGCAAGGTAGGACCTTGCCTGAAAAGTATATCAACTTCCTATGGACTCAGTCCAACTTGTGCTAATCCTCACGAGGAGCACGCCCACAGACCTCGCTGAGATCAGCCCTTCTGAGGAAATGCCATCGTAACAGCAGCGATGCAGCGTGGCACGTGCTCTTTAGCAGAAGGCTAAATTATGCATCGGTGCTGGTTTTAAGTTTGCAGACTTCCTAGAAAGTGAGATCTGCAACGGAAGGAAAAAAATTGGTGGTTGCAAGACTTCACAGTGCTGCTTTCAGAAACCCGTCTTATATTGTTGAGGTAGAGAGAGTGATGACCAGTTCTCAACTGGTCCAGGCTGGAATTTACTGGAGGGACCCATGCCTGTGTCAGGAGCCAAGGAGGCTGCTCGTGGATGGTTTTCTGCAGTTGCTGCTGATCCTGAAGCCTTTGTGAAGCAGCTGAGGGCTGGTGTGCAGGGTGTGTTGCCTGTGCATGACTGGGAAAGGAGCTGGCCAGGTGTGGGAGGCAGAAAATTTCCTAAGGCATTTGACCACTCACGTAATAACATCAGATCTTCTAGGTGCAACAATGCGCTGGGTGATTAATTAGAAAAGAGTTGGAAATGGGGGCTAATGGCTCTTAATTATAAAGGTGAAATGGGCCACTGGAGGCGATCAGTGGCCCCCAAGAAGCTCTGTTTTGCTGTCCTGTGCCTTGTGCTTGGTTTTGTCATCGTATCAGTTTGCCAAAGTGTTCTTCCAGTCCAAAAAGCAACTCTGAGCCGGGCCCAGCTGCCCCATCTAGACCTGCTCCTCCTGGCCCCAGCCGCAAGAGCACTTGGGTTTGCTAAAGCCAGGTACAGATACAGCTGTGGAGATGTAAGAGGAGTTTTAACTTCTTTTTATTGACAAGTTGGGGACCACTCTCGGCCCCTCTCCTTTCCTGGTTGGTGCATCCAGAGGATGCCCACAGTACGTTGGGACTGGTGATGTTTCTGTGGAGGTGGTTTTCTGGAAGTCTGCGCTGGCCTCCTTGTGTCCAGGTCTCCCTTGGCCTCCTGGCCCAGCTCCTTAGGGCTGTGCCATTCTAAACCTCCTGGTTTTTTGATTCCTGTCTTACCAGCTCCCTCCCCCAAATCAGCGTGTGGAGTTGCCTCCTCTCCTGCTTCCCCCCTCATCTCCCATTCCCACCATGATTCCTGCAACCCGTGTTTAACAGCAGTTCCCAGACAGAGAAGATATCCTGGGAGCATCTGCTGGCTCACGCTAACTCTGAAAGTAAATACAGACACTGTGCTGATTTTTGTCATGCCTCTCCACCTTGGGAGGAGAGGGGGGAGAAATTCCTGTGCCGGCATTGTCTGTCTCTGCTTTTGCCTCCTCCTACAGGCACTAATTGCATCGCAGCCCTCCCGGGGTGGGAGTGCTGCTGGCTTGGTTCTGGCCCTGCTCCACTGTGGCTTAGAGCTTCGTAATTTGTTCACCTCCCCGCAGTAAATTGTTTGTGCTTTTGATGGATCTTCAGTAAAATATTTTAATGCATTCTTGTCGAACATTCTGTTTCCCCCCCCCCAGCAGCTATTGACAGATGAAAGCACTAACTCGGGCTTTACATGGGAGTTTAATCGTACCAGCTGTCATGCAGATCCCCGATACAAATATTTTCCACCGTTAATGGTTTCAGTATGGGCTTTTTTTGTGTGATCAAATGTAATCTTATTTAATGGAGTTTTATTCCTGCGATGTCTTATTCTTTTCACCAGGCTAGACTTTATTTTTAAATCAAGAGAGATTGTTCAGAGGAGAGCCAGAGAAATGACTGGAGGGATTGAATGGGATGGGAAACCTGGGATGAACTGAGTGACTATAGATCAGCCAGGGTAGGTGAAAAATGTAAGAATGAGAGAGAGAAAGGGTCCGGTGTGGAAGGTACAGTCAAGAAGAGGGAAAAATTCAGTCTGATCTTACATGTGTCTGGCTTGCCCTAAAGATGAGTTGTATCCAAGGCAGAAAGCGTGGATAGGTGCAGAAACAACTCAGTTCGGATCAGTTATAGAGAAATGTTGCAAGGGGCACTTCAGCAATGTAGGAGGGATTGGCCGTGGCTGCTGTGTTTCCAGTTACGGCTGACGCTTCGTTATTGCAGAGCCACCCTCCTGCACGTGAAAGGAGACCCCAAGCACAGCTGTCACAGCTGGTACCTGCAGCTTGGGCTCGGCTTTTAGCAGTCCTGTGAGCTGGGGAGGAAGAAGGGCTGGAAGTTGGGAGTGTTTTGCTTAGAAAGCCTTTCCCCATCGCAAGGGGGACCGTGAAGCAGCACCAAAATGCTGGACTGCTGCAGCTGGAGTGCACAGCCAACCCCTCAGTCGCTGGGCATGTCCAGCCACTAGAACCATAATTTCTTCTTGTCTTAGGTCGTCCGCACAGAGAAAAACAGCCTGAACAACCGGTTCCTGCCGTGGGATGAGATCGAGACGGAGGCCATCCTGTCCATTGATGACGATGCTCACCTTCGCCACGACGAGATCATGTTTGGGTTCCGGTGAGTAGCCTCCACACGTGCAGCCTTCGGACCCAAGCTGATGTTTTTCCCCATCTCGGTTCGGCTCAGGTGCGGTGTGGCCTCATAGCTAAAGCCAGGATCAGAATTAGGAATAGCACGTCCCTTCCCATGGCTTTCTAACTCAATTTCTTGGAGTAATAAGGCGGTAATGAACTGTTTAATGAGCACAAGGGGGTGGGCTGATTTCAGGTTGTCCAGGCAACCCTGATTCTCACACTTCTCAACATCAACTCTTCGGCTTTTGCTGTGCTGATAATGTTAGCTTAATGGTTTTGAGGATGTGTGGCTTCCTGGGGTGGACAGGAACTGGAAAACAAATCCAAGAGGCTGTTGTGCTCCATCCTTTACGTGCCGTTGGCAAGGCCAGGACGTTCGCAGCCGCTGCAGGATGTGATGCTTGTGAGCTCACGGTGGGCTGCCATCCTCTGCTCCGTGTGACACTGGGATGTGACAGCTCTTTTGGCACTTTTTTTTTTTTTTTCTGCAGAGCATGGAAAAGGCAGATGTTACACAGAAGAGGCTGGTACTGGTTGCTCTCATTCCCACCCTCTCTCTGCTCACAGCATCTACATTTTTTCCTTGACTTTGCCCTGGCAAAAAGCTTCCTGATTACAGGGCCAAGGGAAAAAGGAATTACATGGGCTCCTGTCCTGGGAGGTTTTTGCAGGCTGCTCCTGCAGCTTGTATGACTAAACCTCGGCTGCCAGAGAGGAGCTGGGCACGAGGAGGGTGGCACAAGCAGAAAGTGCTGGCGCTCAGTTGCCTGCGGCTCGTCAGCCCACCGGGCCAGGAGCGGCGGCTGCGGCTGCTAATCTGAGAGCACCCGGCAGCTGGCTGGGGGGCGGGAGACAGGGCCCAGCTCTCCACTGTCACCAAAACGTGTTGGCTCGTGTTTGGGAGGAAGATTAAAAGGCACAAAATGTCTGGAAACCCAACAAGCTTTCTCTGAGAGATGAGAAATGAGGTGTTAAAGTGATTAAAGCAGAGGAGTAGGCGTCGGGAGTCCTGGCTTCCCTTCCATGCCCTGTTTCAGGCTGTTTATCTGAACTTGGCTGTTTTCTCCCCCCTCTTTGGTCTCCGTTTTCCTTCGCTCATCCACAGTGCCTGGCTGAGGCTTTACTGATTAGCCCTGGAGAGCATCAAATGAAAATTATAAGTGCCATGTATTATTCTCACTCATATCCTGCTTACAAACACCTTGTTTCTACAAAACCTCCCTGGGTTAACACATTCAGCCAGGGAAGAGATGGTGTCTCGGTGATTGAGTGAGCCTCTGCTTATAACAACTACATTTTGCTGAAATTTTGCTTTGGACTGTAATTCTTGGAGCCAAAAGCCTCTTCTTGCTGTATTTGCTCCTCAGGAGTGAGCTGGGTGCCCCCAAGCAAACCTCTCTGAGGAGCACTCCCAAAATGATTCTCTGGAGAAATCCTTATTTTTGTGGCTGAGCTGGAAAGGAAAAAGTGTCACGTTTGTAGGAAAGCAAGATGTGGGAGAAGTAAAAGGGAATGAGTCGTAAAGACTCTGGCTTTTCAAAACAATCGCACTGGATTGACAGTAACCGTAGCAAACAAGAACTTGCTGGGTGGATGCTGCCTGGGAAGCTGCTGGCAGTGCTAATTACTTGTTTTTCATTACCAGGTTATATCAGAGTTTCATGAATTTGAGTAGAGGGTATAACAATAAAAACTTCTTTGCTCCTGGCTGTGTCAGTAAGTGTAATGAAAGCTCAGGGCTCTTGGAAACTCTTCATCAGCCTGTGATTACCCTGCAGCCATTGCTCCTGTAGCTCTCTGTGGGATTAGGGGTTGTGGAAAAACCAAACAAAAAAACAACCCCAAACCACAAAAAAACCTCCAAAAAATCCCAAAAGGCCACTTTCTACCCTATTTTGTGCTTCTGTGTCCAACAGGCTCCCACGTGGGATGTGTTTCTTGTAGTCGGGAGTGACTGGGTTTGGAGGTTCAGCTTGGACACTGACCCCTGGGGAGAGGGGATCGGGTGATGGAAGGAAGCCAGCACCCCTGCCCGTGGCAGCTGGGTTCTTTCCCAGGTTAGGCAATAGGCACTGACTTTTTTCTTAATTATTCCAGCCAGTGTTGCAGCTATCCTGTGGGATTTCTCTCAAGGAGAGTGAGCCTCGGATGAGAGCAGAATATTAAGCAAGGCCACGCTCTCACACGCGAACCTCAGGGTTTAATTCCCTACGGCTCGATTGGGAGTGTGTGTTAGAGTGGAGGATGTGCTCACGGCCCTCGCGGTTTTTCCCCTAAGGACAGAGCCTGGGAAGGCACTAGGTGCTGGTTTGGGATGGGAAGCTGGCAGTTTGGCACTCCAGATCTTCCACCTGGAGACACTGGGGTCTTCAGCATCTCAGCAGCTTTCCTAAAGGGGGCTTGATGTTTTCTTGACTTTTTTGAGGAGGAAACAGCTGCTGGGAGATGGGAAGTCCCAAGGACTTGGGGCAGAGGCCAGGAGAGTAGGGAGGCTCTACAGAGAGACCTGGGCAGGCTGGAGCGATGGGTGAGCCCAGCTGGAGGAGTTTCACTGAGGGCAAATGCTGGGGGCTGCCCTTGGGCCACAACAACCCCCAGGGGGGCTACAGGCCTGGGGAGGAGTGGCTGGAGAGCTGCCGGTCAGAGAGGGACTGGGGGGTGAGAATGAGCCAGAGTGTGCCCAGGGGGCCAAGGAGGGCAACGGCATCCTGGCTGGTGTCAGCCCTGGCGTGGCCAGCAGGGACAGGGAAGGGATCTGAGCCCTGGGCTGGGCACTGGGGAGGCCGCCCCTCGATTCCTGGGTTCAGTTTTGGGCCCCTCACCCCAAAAAGGCCATTGAGTGACTCGAGCGTGGCCAGAGAAGGGCAACGGAGCTGGGGCAGGGTCTGGAGCACAGGTCTGCTGGGGAGCGGCTGGGGGAACTGGGGGGGTTCAGTCTGGAGCAGAGGAGGCTGAGGGGAGACCTCCTGGCCCTCGGCAACTCCCTGCCAGGAGGGGGCAGAGAGGGGGGATGAGTCTCTGGAGCCAAGGCCCCAGCGCCAGGCCCCGAGGGAATGGCCTCAAGCTGCCCAGGGCAGGGTCAGGCTGGCTCTGAGGAAGGATTTCTGTGCAGAAGGGGCTGTTGGGCGTTGGAATGGGCTGCCCAGGGCAGGGGGGAGTCCCCGGGATCCCTGGGGGCGTTGAAGAGTCGGGCTGAGCCAGCGCTGAGGGATCTGGGGGAGTTGGGAACGGTCAGGGGGAGGGTCGTGGTTGGGCTGGAGGAGCTGCGAGGGCTTTTCCAGCCGAGATGATTCTGGATTCTGTGATCTCCATCCCTTGCAAACCCTGCCAGCAGCTGGGCCATTGGTGTCGAGGGCACACTCCTGTGCGTAGCAGTTCTCAGCCAGACCCATGCTTATCTCTGGCTGGGCTCCCAGAGTTTGTGTCTCACTGAAAAGCTTTGTGTTTGCAGCGTCTGGAGAGAGGCGAGGGACCGCATCGTTGGCTTCCCGGGGCGCTACCACGCGTGGGACATCCCCCATCAGTCCTGGCTCTACAACTCCAACTACTCTTGTGAGCTATCGATGGTGCTCACTGGTGCTGCCTTCTTCCATAAGGTGAGCTGTCATGGCCACAAAGCCCTGAGCTTCCCTTTCCTTCTCAGAGTAACCAGAGTCTCCATGTAGGGTCGTATTTGTGGTTTTGTTTTTTGGGGTTTGGTTTTTTTTTTTGGTAAAGAACACATTTTGGAGCTCCTTTTCCCTCCCTTTCTCCAAACTGAAACACAGCCAGCATCTGGTCTGTGTCCCAGTGGGCGATCTCCCCCAGGAGCAGGGTATGTTTGTGCCCTGTGAGAAGCACCGTGGCGCTGAGGCAGGTGGATGGAGCATGGGGCCGGGCATGTTTCAGTGATGCTCTTGCTCGTGGTGAGGGCGAGGCGGGCCACAGGATTGCCTGCCCCATGTCTTTGTAAGGTTAAACATGCTACGGTAGACTCAAAAGTGTTGCAGGGGTTAATTTGAGGGTTTCTGGAGCTGTGTGGTGGCACGGGCTGGGTGGGAGGTGGCTGGTTTATATTGGGAGGGAGCAGGCAGAAAGTGGCTCTGTCTCTGAATGGGAGAGGCCACAGCAGGCAAAGAGACTGAGAGACAAGGATGGGCTCTTTTCCCAGAGGGACTGTCCTGAGCTGTCCTGTCACGGTGGGAAGGTTATCCACCAGCTCCTGCTGCCCTGCGGATGCTGCAGCAGCAAAGACAGCAAGGTCTGAGGGGCTGAAACCATCATTTCTCAATTTCTGAAGTTAAAGGAGCCCTGGGACTCAGTTAGGGTGGTGGCTGTGGGGTAGATTTGCTGCTACTCTGTCTAGAGCAGATCTCTTGGGTGCAGGATTAACTCCGTTATGAGGAATCTTTCCACTGGCATCTTTGAGCTCTCTGTTTGGGACCACTTTGAGCAACGTTGCACCTTTTTATCCTTTCCAGTACTACGCCTACCTGTACTCCTACGTGATGCCACAAGCCATCCGTGACATGGTGGATGAGTACATCAACTGCGAGGACATCGCCATGAACTTCCTGGTCTCTCACCTGACAAGAAAACCTCCCATCAAGGTAAAGTGCCGGGCGGAAGCTTAAACTGGGCTTTGTGGTCTTGGCAAAACAGTAGTTTGGTCGATGTCTGTGAAAGGCAGGAGATGTGTTAGGAGGCTGCATGTCCTTTGCCTGGCCTTGAGATTTAATGCCTGGTCAAAAAGGTGTGAAAACTCACTGCAGCCCTTAGAAGCAGCCAAATCCTGGCCATGGTGAGCCGATGAATTGGGATTTGATTTATGCTGCAGCTCAGACCAGAGTCGGGCTGACCCAGTGCTGAGGGATCTGGTGGAGTTGGGAATGGTCAGTGTGAGGTTCGTGGCTGCACTGGAGGATCTTCACAGAATCATCTGGGTTGGAAAAGTCCTTGATTCTGTTTTCTGGCTCAGCAAAGGCCCTTCTGAGCAGCTGATCCCAAAAAGACAAATTTCCTTCTTTCCATAATGGATAGCCCAAGTAGGAAGGATTTCCTTGCTGATTTTGTGTAGCTTTCCAGAGACATTTGGGCTCATCTGTGTGTGGAGGGCTGATGGTCCAAACGCTGCAGCCCAGCTGAGGTTTCCCTGCCCTGCGATAACAAATGAATGTCACAGTTTTGAGCATGAATTGTAGATGCAGATCATTCTGCTCTTTATCACTGCTGGCAAACTGCTCTTTACAGCCCTGCATATGTCTCACCATCGCAGGCCAGCTGCCTTGGAGCTGGGTCTTGGCCATAAATATGATGGGTGGGTTTTTCTGTGTGGTGGTCTTCCCATCTGGAGCTACTACAAAGTGGAGGTTGTAGAGTTTGGTGCAGCTGAGGGGGGAATCATTCCAAAAGGAAAGGGCACTGCAATGGGATGTCCCATTCAAGAAAGATAAGGAGGCCCTTTAATCAATGGGTGGCCCCTCCAAAGATCTTACTCTGTGTGTAAAACAAGAGACGCCTCAAATTGCTAATTCTTCTGTAGAATCTGTGGGCAGCAGAGCAAGGGAGGGGATTGTCCCCCTCTGCTCCGCTCTGGGAGACCCCCCTGCAGGGCTGGGTCCAGCTCGGGGGCACCAACAGCAGAAGGACACGGACCTGCTCCAGTGGGGCCAGAGGAGGCCACGGAGATGCTGGGGGGGCTGGAGCCCCCCTGTGAGGACAGGCTGGGAGAGCTGGGGGGTTCAGCTGGAGGAGAGAAGGCTCCGGGGAGACCTTAGAGCGGCCCCCCAGGGCTGAAAGGGGCTGTGGGAAAGGGGGGAGGGACTCTTGATCAGTGGTGTAAGGATAGGATGAGGGGTAACAGTTTTAAACTGACAGAGGGGAGATTTAGATGAGATCTAAGGCAGAAATTCTCCCCTGTGAGGGGGGTGAGGCCCTGGCACAGGCTGCCCAGAGAAGCTGTGGCTGCCCCCTCCCTGGAAGGGTTCAAGGCCAGGTTGGACAGGGCTTTGGGCAACCTGGGCTGGGGGAAGGTGGCCCTGCCCAGGGCAGGGGGTGGCACTGGGTGAACTTAAAGCTCCCTTCAACGCAAACCATTCTGCAGTTCTGTGATTCTATCCATAGCCAGTAAAAGGAAAGGAGTTCCTTTCTCAAGGTAGGTGTTTGGGGTTTTTTTTTCTTGAAACAGCTGCCCAAACGTTAAACCAGAAAAAAGTAACTCATCACTGGTAGATCATCATGTCCCGCTTTCTGTGCTCTGACAGCTGCTGTGGACCACGTCCTTCTGTCCTTCCTTGCCTGGACACCCCTCAAGGAGAGAGCACGGCCCAGTTCACGCTGCTTCGCAGCATGTCACAGGGGACATCCAGCCCTGTCCCCCCCCACACAGCACCTTGGGCAGGGTGTTCCCCCCCAGCCGGGGTGTTCCGGCAGCGTGGCAGTGACCATCTTTGTCCCTCTCATTGCAGGTGACCTCCCGCTGGACCTTCCGCTGCCCTGGGTGCCCCCAGGCTCTTTCTCATGACGACTCTCACTTCCACGAGCGACACAAGTGCATCAACTTCTTCGTCAAGGTGTACGGGTACATGCCCCTGCTGTACACCCAGTTCCGCGTGGACTCGGTCCTCTTCAAGACCCGCCTGCCCCACGACAAGACAAAATGCTTCAAGTTCATCTAGAAAGGGGAGGCAGCCAGGCACCCTCGGCTCTCCAAACGTGGGCTGGAGGTGGGTGAGGACAGGGGGTGGCTTTTCCCACGGAGCTGTGAGTGCAAAACGCTTTTTGGGATTGACTCTGGCCTCCCCCCCGCGGAGCAAAAGGGACGTCCTGGCTTTGGACGGGCTCCTTTCCCCCCTCCCTTCCTGCCCTCCCCACTGAGACTCGACCGAGTGACAGCGAACAGGATCTCACGGCTTCTGTAAAGACACTCCCCGGGATCATACACTGAGGAATGGCACGCTGGCTAGTGGCTCTGCCCCTTCGCTAGCCCAGGGCAACCATTCTTTTTAATTATAATTATTGTTATTTAAAATGAAAGTGTTTTAGATTTGCCGAGTGAGGCTTTTTTTTTTTTTTTTTTTTTTTTTTCTTCCCCTCCATTTTTTCCCCCCTACCCACCCCCTGTTCCTCTCTGGACCTGTCAGCCCGCTCACGGGGGACTGCAGCCAGGCCAGGTTGGAGGTGTTTGACTGCAGAGAGATTATTCCCAGCATCAAGGCAGCTCCACTCTCCATCGTTGTCCCCATCCTTTCTCCCACAGGGCGGCCTTTCTTCTGTCCTCCCGCGCACCCACACAAATCCTGGCTTGTCCTTGCCCTGTGGCTACTACTGAGGACTTTCAGGTGTCAGCTGGCATGAGCCCTTTGCTCTGCTCCGCTCACCACCCTGAGCCCTGCCCTCAGAGAGGGGCCAGCAGGAAAGAGCTTGACCCCCTGGGTTCCTTCCCTGGCTCCCAGCACCGCCCTGGTCCTGTGCCACAGCCCTGGGGGAGTTTGGTCGCTGCGATCTCCGTCTTGGTGTCCTTTCCCACCCCATGCGGCACATGCAGGTGCTGCTAAGACCTTGGAGGGCTGGGAGAGTGTTTGGGGCTTGGGAAGGCTCCGTCTGCAGCACAGCAGGAGCTGGCAGTGCCCCAGGCTCACGCGTCTGAGCCGGCTGCCTTGGCCTGCGGTTTTCTACAGCTGCTGCAGCACCGAAGGCAGCTGCGTGGGGAGTCTCCGAGTCTGGTCTGGCCTTTTCACAAGTGCTTTGGGACGCTGGTTCCTGCCCTTGTCTGGCCCTGGAGATCCGCTCTAGTAGCACCCCGAGATCGACTACGTGAGCCTTTGCTGATAAAACAAACCTCTTCCCCCAAAGCATCCCAGCGTGGACGCGGTCTGAGAGTCAGTTCTTGGCGGTGCCCGGTCCCTGCCAGGCAGTAGTTCAGCTCCCAGTGCTGGTGCCACGGGGATTCGGGTTATCAGAGCCTTCCCTTGAGGTCACTTCATGTTCTGCAGAGTAGAAGACACTAACCCTCAATCTGTGCAGCCAAGCAGAGCCGAGGCCAAGCGCCAGCCCAGCTCTGCCTCATCCCCCAGCCCCGAGCCAGACGTGCCCAGGTCGGGTTTGCCCGTGGGCCTCAGCATCGCTGCCTTAACCCCATCCCAGCCACGCTCACGCCCTGGCCTGGAGCTGCATTTGAAGGTTAATCCCACCAAGAGTTTTCCTTGCCGGGAGACGCTGCTAGCATCGCGCTCACGAGGCTGTTTCTCTCCCACGGAAGCAAAATGCTGTCAAATCCAACCTCTGCTCGACTCGCTGCTCCCTTCTGCTTCACTCCCAGCCTGGAACGAGAGGGAAGGACACGGGCTGCCCGCTCTGGAGTGTGAGATTCTCCCTCAGTGCGTCCCAGATGTTGCAGGGCAGCCTGGAAAAGCTCTCGCTGGGTAGACAGGAAAGTAAAACTTGTGCGATTTACCTCAGCGTCCCCGTTTTCCTGGCCTGACTTCCACGGTGGCAGGTTGGAGCTCAGGGGGGGTGTTACCACCTGGGTGTGTCTGGGGTGTCCTCAAAGAGGAGCAGGGGATGGGCCGGCAGCAGCTCCTGGGCTCGCTCCTGAGGTCAGCTCAGTTCTCGCTCCTCTCCCACAGCCTGCGCCACGTTTTGGGGTGTTAAGTGGCCTCTCCAGCCACGTTCCAGCCAGTTTTTCATGTCAGCCGCTCCTCAAGAAGGGGAAGGGGCAGCCCGTCCCCAGCAGAGCCGACAGCTCGTGCCTTCGCCAGCGCTACAGACAGCAGTGAAACACGGCTCAAGGTCTCTTTCCCTCTATGTATGGGTTGTTTTTTTTCTCCTTTCTGCTCTTTTTGTCTTAACATCAGGTGCTCAAAATGGAGCACGTGAGGGCTCAGTCTCCTCAAAAACATGATTGGAGGCTCCTGCGAGGCCCTGAAACACCTGGAAGGATTTTTCTGCCCTGGGGCGGGGCGGGAAGGTGGCCCTTGGCAGTGGCTGCACCAGCTTCAGCATCCCCGAGGGGCCTGACACCTCTCTGCCGCTGGCTTTCATTCTCCCCTCTCTCCCCTCATTAATAGGTGGTTCGTTAGTGACGAGGTCGCTCCCGCACAGCACAGGTGGAGGCAGCTTGGCAGGAGTCAAGCAGGAGCAAGGCCCGAGGCAGGCATGGATTGCACTTTATATAAATAGTTACATTTCTCAGCAACTTATTTTCAAAAAAATCTTAAGGGCAATTTTATTATTCTGGTGAGAGACTGACACACAGGGAGCTTGGAAAATGGGGAGGTGACATGAAGTTTCAGTTCAAGGCCAGTAGAAAGGTTGGTGGTGGAAATTCAGATTGTTCTTCCCAGGTTCTTATGATGCTCTGCTTTTGCCCAAAGCGTTGGGTTTTTTGGGATGTTTGTTTGTTTGTTTGTTTGTTTGTTTTTGGAGGATCCCTGGTGCTGCGGGAGCCAAGGGTCAGGCTGGGAGCATCGTGGTTGAGCGGGGAGAGGCTGCGTGGTGGGAATCGCTGCACGCGTCGCAGGGTGGTTTCTTTTTCTTTTTCTTCTTGCTGAGACACCACCCCCCCCAAAAGGGGAGGGTTTGGGGGTGAAGGGGTGTTGTGAGTCGCTGATGGCGGCTGCTCGGGGGGGCCGTGCTGGGCAGCAGCAGCGGTGGGAGGGTCGGGGTGTGGAAGGAAACTAAACACCAGCGAGAGCAGGGCTGGTGCTGCCCCTCCCGGTCCTCTGCCGGTGTGGCTCTTCCCCAAATCTTCTCAAGTCGCCACCAAACCCCCTCCGGAGCGCAGGCTCACGATTCACACCCACCTTTCTGCTCCTGAGACATCCCAGGATCTGAGCTGTCCTTACCCTTCCCTCCACCATCAGGTAGGAGAGGGGCGTTTCGGGAGAGCGGTCCAGCCCGTGCCCCCCTCCCCAACCTCCTCCTCCACTCCCCAGTCGCTCTCCCGGGATTTCCCGGGGCTCCCAAGGTAACCCTGAAGCTCAGGTTAGGTTGTACAATTCGTCCCAGCTCCAGCACGGAGCAGCCTGGCTCCCACGGGCTCCCCAGCCCCGAGGGGATGGGGAAGGGCTCTCAGCGGCTGCACCTTTCCCGAGGGAAAAGCCTCTTCCCCTTCCCGATGTTTCTGCCGCTTCACCCAGCACCGGGGGGGTCGGTGCCGGGAGCGGCGCGGGGCCTTTTCACGTTGGCTGTAAATAGCATCGTCCGTGGTGACAGGGACCCTCCCTCACACCACCCCCTACCCCCTTCATGTCGCACAGCCCCTGCCCTCCCCTGCGCCGAGACTGCTCCGTGAGCACCGGGTTTAAAGAAAAAAAAAAAAAAAAAAAAAAAGACCACAAAAAACGAGAGAAAAGAAACACTCCTTCAACACGAGCACAATGTTGAGTTTTTTTGTAAAAGGATCCAATAAATGGAGAGTTTAACTTGAGAGAGTCTCTGTTCCTGCTTGGCCAGGGGCTGGGAGAGGGGTTGGCTTGCACGGATTTCTTGGTTGCCCCCAAAAACGAGCATCTGCCCAGAGCTGCATTTCCCGAGGGAGCAGGAGCGTGGGGCAGGCGAGTTGTGCAACAGTGGAAGCCCCTCAGGACCAACAGCAGTGCTAAAACCAGCTGTAACCATCAGTGAGCTCCTGGCTGGGCCCAGCGAGCCCCCGGTCCAGCCCCAGCGGGGTTTGGAGCCTGGTGTGACGTCAGGGGATGTCACATCGCAGCTGACCCGGTGACAGGGGGCTGCTGGTGGCACCGGGGCCATGCAGCCAGGACAGCGGAGCCGCGGGAGGCTGCAAACCCTTCGATTCCTGCAGCACCAGGTGAAATCAGCCGCCTAAAACTCGCCTTCCCCTGAGCCTGGTTCCGCTGGAAGGAGCCTCAGCCCTGCGGAGGGGCTTGGGGACGCTGAGAGCCCCCACGGGAGGAGTTTTCCGGGTATTTTAGGCAATGAAGATGGGAGCCGAGCTGGCAGAGGGAGTGCGAGTTTTCCCATCCTCGCCCTGGGATCCTGAAACAAGGAAATCCAGGTGCCGGTTCCTATGGCGGGGGGGGGGGATGCTCCCGGCCTCTCTCCTCTGCAGGAAAAAGGTGGAAAAAACAGCTGGAGCTTGGCGATTTCTGACCAGATTTCCACCAGCTTCAAACCTGCGGGGAGGAGCGGAGGGGCTGAACGGGGCTGGCTGGGCCAAGGGCTCCCCTTCCACACCGGGCTGGAAATCCCACAACATTTCCTGTATGTTGCTGGATTTCCTTTCTGTTTGTTTTTGGTTTTTTTTTCACCTTCCCTCCTGAGCAGTCGCTTCCTCCGTGGTTTTTTTGGTCACCTCTGTGTCACCTGCCCTTGCTGCTGTTCCCCTGGGAAATGTGTCCTTTTATTTTCCCTGTTGCCTCCAGGTAAAGGCTTTGCCCTACCAGGATTATTTGTGCTTGGATTTATTCCCAGGATAGGTTTTAGGGAAACCCCCAATTATTTTCATCCTGAAGGGAGGTGGTGGGTGCCTACTCAGGAGCTGCCTCCCAAATACCTGCGGCCTCTCCCTCAAATGCTGCCCTCGCTGACAGGTGAGGGCACAGACAACCTTGCTCAAAGGCACCGACCTGGTGGCAGTGGGGGGACACTGTTTGGGGGGGGACGCTTTGTTTTGGGGGTCCGGCTCCCTGGTGAGCTCAGCAGCACCTTGGGCGCTGGCTCGACTGTAGCAGATTCACTCGTCGGGCTTTTCCAGCCCTTACGCAGCAGATAAAAATCTCCCGTTGAAGCCAATAATTTTTAGAGCTGTAACTGATGTGACCGACCTTGTGAGACGAGCCACAGCACTACAGCTCCTGTTAGGTTTTTGGTTTTTGTTTTGGTTTTTTTTCTGTTTTGGTTTTTTTTCCCCCCCCCATCTGAGAGTTTGTACCTTGGGATGGGGGAAGAGGTGCTGGGGTGAGGAGGAGGAGGGGATAAAGCCCCTGGTAATTCATTCCCTTCTCCCAGGGGGGAAGGAGTGCTTTACAGTACTCCTCCACGTTAAAAAGTGCCCTCAATCTCAATTTTCCCTTTCAGCTGACACATTC